ACTATCTGCTGATTCTTGGGCAAAGGAAAAACAGTAGATAACTTGAGTGAAACAGAAAGTAAACAAATAATTCAGCACGTTTGGTGGGTGACTAAATGAAAGAATAAAATATGCCCTGAAGCGGTTGCTGGTGGGGAATAAGAGCAGAATGTATTGAGCACCGTTGTCTTTTAGCTGATAAATTTAATCTATGGGAGAATCATAAGCATATGCATAAAATTTCATCCTCAAAAATGTGTATCATATTATTCCTCATATTAGCAAAAAAGGGGGGAAATCATCTGTCAGTAAGAAAAATGTTATAGCCAAATGGTGTAATATTATGTAAGTATTAAAACTGTGTTTCTAAAGAGTTTGTAATGGCATGGAAAAACGTCTCTGCTGTAAAGTGAAAAAAGTAGGCTATAAAATGTGATGACAATTATTTTTTAAAAGCACGTATATATGGAAAATAGACATAAAACATACCATGATATGTAGTGGTTGCTGCTGAGTAGTGAATCTCCCCTTTTAATTTTTCTACATTTATCAGCCTATTATTTTCATAAAGTAAAACAATAAACTATTTAAAAATAACTCAAGCTAGACTTCAACAAGTGCCCTTAGATAAGGAGGCTCACACCATAAGGATGTCAACTACCCCCAGTTAACTTATAAATGTAATGTGACCCAATAAAAATCCTACCAGCTGTAGACTTATAGAAGAGCTGCAAAAATAGTACAGAGTTCCCTCAGGCCTCTGACCCAGCAGCCCGTAATGTTAACAGAAGTGAGCATGGGCTCGACATTATTACCTAAACCACACAGTTCTTCGGATGTCGCTAGTGTTTCCTGTTTCTGCTCTAGGACCCCATGCTGTGCTAGTCCTCACGTCTCCTTGGTCTCCGACCATCTGTGACAGTTCCTGTCTTTTGCAGTCTTTCACGACCATGAGACTTGTGAGACTCGTCAGTTATCTTGCAGGATTCCCCTGGATCTGTGCTTGTCCGTTTTCTTACGTCAGGTGGAGGTGACACATTACTGGGAAGGACTCCACGGAAGTGGCTTGGCCTCCTCGGCGCCATCTCAGGAGGTGTGTGGCGTCCTTGTGTCCTGTGGCCGTGATGTTAACCGTCACCAGCTGACTGAGGTAGTGACTGCTGGTTTTCTCCACTGTCAAGTTAACGGTTTTCTCCTTGTAATTAACAAATGTTATTTTGGAGAAGTCTTTGAGACTATCCAAATAGCTGTTTAGCCTTAAACTTTCAGCATCTGCTGGTGGAAGCTGCCTGCAGCAATCGCCATTGCTTGGAAACAGCCACTGGAATTGTCGGTAAGGAAGATTTGTTTCTCCTCCCCCACGTATGTATTCAGTTATTCCCATCAGTATGGACTCAGGGATATTTATTATTATTCTTTTGGTTATACTTCAAAATTATCGGTTTACTTTTTTTACTCAAACTGTTCCTGCTTTGGCTGTTGGGCGCTTTCTCGGGCTGGCTTCTGTGTACCTTTGACACGCCCCAGAGTTTTGTTTTTTAAGCACATCCTTATTTTCTGGCACCACAAGACACTCCGGGGTCATCTTGTGTTTTCCCTGCCCAGCCTGGGAATCGACAGGCTCCTTCCACTGGGGACACGCTTCGGGCCCACGGTCGGGCCTGGCGTGCTCCACGCTGCTCCCAGCCCTCTCAGCGGCCGGGGCCAGGAGACACATCCACACACAGGCGGATCCTCGCGCGGCTCTGCTGACGTCTGACACTGTCCAGCGACCTCTGCCTGACAATGCAGGGTTCTCGCTGATGCCGCAGAGACTGCCTGTCCAGTACCGCAGGGCTCATCCTCACCATCACCGTTTCCCTGTTTGTGACTCTGTCTACAGTGAGAAACCTGCAGAACATCTATGCATTTGCTCAACACTGGCCAACACATAGTTTCAGAATAGCTAACCCATACCCCTGAGAAACAAATTTACCAACTAGAGTTCAGAGGTTTTGCAAGGCTCTTTCACCTTTAGCCCCACAGCGTTGAAGGAAATCCGATTGTGTCACTCCACAATGTTCTTCTTTGACATAAAATTACTTCTGCGCTAAAGCAATTGAGAAGAAGCAAGCAGAAGACAGGCTTTCCTTGTCCTCCTGCTCTTCTGCTTACAGAGAAGAGGTGCCCCTTACCGGGGACAGCTCAGCGGCAGCATCAGCACCATCTGCAGACACACCTCCCCCTCGGTCTCTGCGTATACTTAACCTTCCCACAGTTTCCTGCCTTTGAAAGAGAAAACTGAGGGAGCTGACCCTACAGATAAAGCATCTATAATTTTAAAACTGTGGTACTGCAAACAGAATAGAAAATCATAAAACAAAGTCAAGTACATGTCAAATTTAGTATAGGATAAGAGCAGAATCTCAGACCAGTGGGTGAGGGATGAACTTTTTTGTAAGAGGTGTTAGGACAACTGGACCTATACAGAAAAGATAAAATGGGACCCACTCCTTGCAGGCACATTAGGGTAATGAATCAGAGATATGAATGTAAAAAATGAAACCACACGAACTAGCAGAAAACACAGATGGATTTTTTATAACCTGGAACTGGGAAGAATTGTCCTATGCCTCAGAGTCTAAAAACTATCATGGAAAAAAGTGATCAATTCAGCCACATTCAAACAAAGAAGCTCTTTGGGCCGGCCCGGTGGCGCACTGCTACAGTGCGCCGCTTGAGAGTGTGGCGGCGCTCCCGCCGAGGGTTTGGATCCCACACACAGACCGGCCGCTCACTGGCTGAGCGAGGTGCGGGCGCAAGACTGAGGGTTGCGATCCTGTTGCCGGTCCCGGTCCGGTACGGGCGCGACACTGAGGGTTGCGATCCGTTGCCGGTCACGAAAAAAGACAAAAAAAACAAAAAAAAAAACAAAGCAGCTCTGGCAAAACAAAAACATGCCATAAGCAAAGAAAAGTGCCAAGTGACACATTGATTTAAAAAGAATGACACACTGACTTTTAAAAAATGTGACATATCACAGCTATCCCTAATACAGGAAGGGCTTCTACAAACTGAGGACTAAAATCCAATAGAAAAATGGGCAAAAAACGCATATAATTTGCTGAAAAAGTAATGCAAATAGTCCTTAAACATATGAAAACATGTTCAGCCTCACTCATAAGGGAAATGCAAATTAAAACTACAGGGGTATAACTTCTCACCTATCAGACTGGCCAAAATCTAAAACTTAGCACAACTCCTTTGGCAGGGCCGTGGAAAACAGGCAGTTTTGTGTATCAGGAAATGGCCCAGATGTGCATCTGTGCAATGTAGTGACATCTACATTTAACCCAGCAAGACTCTGGCTAGGAATTGATCCCAAAGGTGCAAAATGATGTTGATGATCTCCAGAATGCAGGAGGAAAATGGGGAAGTGCAGGAATTCCACGTAGGAAGGGAGAAATATAAAACAGTACTCATACGCATATTTTAAAAGAGACAATGGAAAGATAAACAAAAAATTAATTAAAATGGTTACTTTTGGGAGGTGGAGAAACGGGGATGGAGGCCTGATTTCTCTGAATGTAACTCATTCTATAATGTTGCCTTAGGAACCACATACATGTTTAAACATTTTTAATCAAAAAGAACAAAAAAAGCACTCCTTTAAAGTTGGGGGAAAAATCAATGTATAGAGTTGGTGGCACAACCACACACAGAAATTGTTTCAAGTGGCCTTTAACACACACTATGACTGCCATCCCTAGAAGGACGTGTCCAACAACTGCAGAAAAATGCCGAATGCTCTCAGCAGTCCTGGTGGTGACACTGGCACTGGTATTCTGAAGTTTTCACGTGCACATTGCAGGACAAAGCAAATTCTATTAATGCTGTTAGAAGTCAAGTTTTTCAGTGTAAGGAAAAACAGATGCATACATAAAAGTTAAAACTCTTTAAAATTTTCATTTGAATAGAAAATCCTGATATAAACTCCTCCTTTTCACTTGCTTAGAATTTCTCTTTCTTAGCTCTGTGCACTGAAAAGACCTAGAAGCATGACAAACCAGGAGCTGCAGAACAGACTGTGATCTCTGAACGCCATTCTCACCAAAAGGAAGCAGTGCTTCTTGGTGAAATGGCATATCCAGGTGTGGGCAGGAACAGCCCAAGTGAGCCTGGCACACCTGTGGCAAAAAGCAAGGAGCTGGTCCAAGACCAGGATGGCAAAAGGACACAGGAACCAATCAGAAGGGCTCCCGCTACCAAAGATGGCACAATCAGAACTCCAAAATGATCATAATTATGAGACTGAAAACATATCAACTACATAAAAATCCACAGTAGTACAGTACTTTTAAAAATCCTGTGGTCCATATTTTTAAATTAATAGACTTTACTTTTTAGCACAGTTTTAGATTCACAGCCACACTGAGCAGGGAGTTTCCATTACCCCATCCCATTATGACCACAGCCTCCCCCACTGTCACCGCCCACCACAGTGGCACGTGCATCACAACAGAGTCCATGGTTTACATCAGAGTTCACTCTTTGTGTTATGGTTCACTATCGGAAGTTGCTTGGGCACCAAGTCATTATCCTCAGATAGATAAGAATCCAGAGCCAGGCATGAATCCTTCCTTTCCTGTATGGACTGTATTTTGGAATAACCAATGGGCTGATGATGGAAAATGCTTCCTTACAGAACTGCTCTAGAAAATAAATGTGACAGCAATGATAGAAATAAATATCATCAATTAGACAACCCATCCTGAAATCATGGATCTATGGGGCAACAAAAGGTTGGCGGGAGCTTTGTAATGGACAAGGCCGGCTGGCAACATCTCTGAAAGTGGCCAACCAGATAATAATAAACGCCTCCCGTGTGGAGTACTCAGAAATACACAGCCATGCTTCTCAAGCCCTTCACAAACATACCAAAAACCCAAGGCTCTCGCCAAAATGCAGATTCTGACTCAGTGGCCTGTGGTGGAGCCCATGTCGCTGTCCCACACCCCACGCTTGGAGAGGTGAGTGTCCACAGCACCAAGAATGCAGCACGTTTCCTGGGGAAAATGAGCCTGAATCTAATCAAGCTTCTGACCCAACTACCACTTTACAGCAAGTAAAGGAAAGCAATCAGGCTAATCCAAAACGTGGGTGTCCTTACAGGACAAGTGACCGCGTCGTCAACAAACCAATGGCATGCAGAAGGGGGAGGGGTCTGCATCGCCTTAGAGACGTAAAGGAAAGCAATCAGGCTAATCCAAAACGTGGGTGTCCTTACAGGACAAGTGACCGCGTCAACAAACCAATGGCATGCAGAAGGGGGAGGGGTCTGCATCGCCTTAGAGACACATCAAATGCAACGTAGAGACGTTGCTGGATCGGATTCGAGCAAACTGGCTTTAAAAGATAGTTTTTAGGCAATTGGGGAAATGTGAACATAGACTGGACATTAGCTATAAAGGAATTAGTGGGTTTTGTGTTTATATTAGAAGAGATATGGCATTGTGGTTATGTAAAAAAAAGTACATACATGAAAAATTTGATGTCTGGGTTTGCTTTATAATATTCAAGCAAAAAACAAACAACAACAACAACAAAACCACAAGTAGGGGGAGGATGGATGAAACAGACTGGCTATCTGTAACCTTGGTAATGAAAGCTGGTAACGGCAAGGAGACATGGGGTTCATTATGTTATTCTATTTTCACTTGAAATTTTCTTTTAAAAATGTTTATAAAACAATTTGGAAAAAATTACAGCTCTATTCAACATTCATTACTATTTTTGCTTACCATTTTTCAAGAAAAATTGTAACTTAGACCAAAAGAGGGGAAAAGAGACTGCACATCTCAATTTTACGTACTGTCAATTGTTACTGTTTCTAACTCTGATGCTGAGCCCACACGTGTCTCCAGACCCCCCTCCAGTGGCAGAAGCCTCCAGGGAAATGTGCAGCCCAGCGTTTGAGCTTTGAAGTTACTTTGGATATTAAAAGGCTCCTGCCATTAAATATGAACTCGCTTCTGCCTATTATTACCAAAACAATGTACTAAGTTTTGCTCCTCGACTCTGCTGAGTAACTGAAGCACATAAAGCTATCTGACCTGTTCCAATAAGAAAACTCTCTATCGCCCATCGCCCTATTTGATCCTTTTTTCTTTTCAAAAGCCTCCCTCCAAGACAACTCACAAGACGTGAAGTCATTCATCCTGTTTAGTTTTTCTAGTCTCCCCTTCAATCAGAAATAAATTGCACCTGGCCCATGAGGGTTTAACAAAGAAAAACAAACAAAAACCCACCACAACACTTTACCATTCTCTATGTATAATTCTGTAGCATCCTAGTATTTTTGTTGGCTTTCATTTTCTGCTTTTCTGTTTTTTTTTTAAATACCCTTTTCCTGACACAAACTACCTCTAGTCTTTAATGAAGTTATAT